TATATACGGATATATTGGGTTTAGTAGTCAATATATTGGCCTTTAAGTAAAACTCTTTTAGGTTTGCTAAGCTTTCGAGTTTATTTTACTCTTTTTCAAAACATACTAAAAATTAACATAAAAAATTTACATTAGAAAAATGACATAAGAACTTCATTTTTCTAATGTAAATTTTTTATGTTAATTTTTAGTATGTTTTGAAAAAGAGTAAAATAAACTCGAAAGCTTAGCAAACCTAAAAGAGTTTTACTTAAAGGCCAATATATTGACTACTAAACCCAATATATCCGTATATATATATATATATATATATATAATATATATATATATATATATATATATATATATATATATATATATATATATATATATATATACGGATATATTGGGTTTAGTAGTCAATATATTGGCCTTTAAGTAAAACTCTTTTAGGTTTGCTAAGCTTTCGAGTTTATTTTACTCTTTTTCAAAACATACTAAAAATTAACATAAAAAATTTACATTAGAAAAATGAAGTTCTTATGTCTTCAATAGGCTTACCCTTGTGAGAATTGTCTTTTAAAATTAGCAAAATTTTACATTTTGTCATTATGTCATTAACATAATGACATTAAATTTGATTTATTTTTTATTTCTGTCAAAACTTATTACTAAGGTTTCCATGTCTCTTCTATTTTTTATATTTATTTTAGATGAGTTTGACAGAGGAAGTGTCTATGTTTATGCAAACCTTCATTGCAAATTTTGATATAATTAGATCTATTCTGTAACTTTTGACAAATCGAATAGAAATCACCAAGTCGAATCGTAATTACTCGAAATCGGAATGTTGGATATCTATCGCGTCGTTTTTGTGTTTGGATTGGCATTCTGTAACTCACATCGTAATCGGTGTAAATCGAAAACGTCAACTTCTACTTGACGCGCTCAGAAGTTGGTGGCAACCCCGCATTGAAACGCGAAAGAAGTGTTCTGTGACGATAAGTTACTGGAAAGGCTAGTGCTCGCGAAAAATTCATCAAAAAAGAAGATTATATTTCACGTCAAGTAGTTTTGACATGTTTTGGTTAAGTTTGAAAAGTTCGTTACAAGAATACAAAAAGCAAGCGTAACAGCAAAGAAAAAGATATCTGCTATTATTTAGTAAACTTTATCTAAATAAATAACACCACAGACTAAAAAATTAAGTAGCTACAAAAATTCATCAACCGCTAATTTAGATCAAAAAGTCAACAAATAAATGTCAAAACAACCAATGCGCAAGCGTCAAGACCAATTTCGATGTCGAAATTTGATCTCGACAGAGCTTGTCTAGTCGAAATCAATTTCTACACAACATTCCGATAGTAGAGGTCGAGATGAGTTACAGAATACCGATTCCTACCAATTCCGATCCGACTTGCTGACTTCTACTCGATTTGACTCATTTCTATTCGATTTGTAGTTACAGAATAGGGATGAATATTACAGTTATTAAACAAGCAACAGAGTTTATGTTACTAAGTATTTAAGAAAGAAAAAATACAAATAAAAATAAATTTTATCTCATTTGAACTTGGAATAATCCCTTTCATATGCGTAACTTTTAAGAACTTTTATATTGTTATTATTTTATTTAAAAGAAGATTACTGTATATAGCACTAAGATTTTCAATGTCTTCTCTTTTGTTTAAGGTGTTTTGTGTAGTTTTAATTAAACACATTTCTAGAAACAGTCTATTGAAAAGAAAGAAAAAAAAACTCATTTCTTTCAAAAGACTGTTTCTAGAAATGTGTTTAATTAAAACTACACAAAACACCTTAAACAAAAGAGAAGACATTGAAAATCTTAGTGCTATATACAGTAATCTTCTTTTAAATAAAATAATAACAATATAAAAGTTCTTAAAAGTTACGCATATGAAAGGGATTATTCCAAGTTCAAATGAGATAAAATTTATTTTTATTTGTATTTTTTCTTTCTTAAATACTTAGTAACATAAACTCTGTTGCTTGTTTAATAACTGTAATATTATATCAAAATTTGCAATGAAGGTTTGCATAAACATAGACACTTCCTCTGTCAAACTCACCTAAAATAAATATAAAAAATAGAAGAGTCATGGAAACCTTAGTAATAAGTTTTGACAGAAATAAAAAGTAAATCAAATTTAATGTCATTATGTTAATGACATAATGACAAAATGTAAAATTTTGCTAATTTTAAAGGACAATTCTCACAAGGGTAAGCCTATTGAAGACATAAGAACTTCATTTTTCTAATGTAAATTTTTTATGTTAATTTTTAGTATGTTAGTTATGTTAAAATATGTATATATATATATATATATATATATATATATATATATATATATATATATATATATATATATATATACATATATATTCTTAGAAAGGGCTTTAGTGACTATGTGAGTAATAATATATACGGATATCTTGGGTTTAGTAGTCAATATTGGCCTTAAGTAAAACTCGTTTAGGTTTGTTAAGCTTTCAAGTTTATTGTACTCTTTTTCAAAACTACTATTGTACTAAAAATTAACATAAAAACTACATTAGAACAATGAAGTTGTTATATCTTCAATAGGCTTACCCTTGTGAGGATTGTGTTAAATTAGCAAAATTAAATAACAAAGTTTTTTAGGTACCACACAACCCGTCTCTAATAACCTTTGGGACACGTTCACAAAATTTCGGGCATTAGGATATCGTCGTTCGGAATAGCGTTCAACATAAAGTCTAACAGCCCTAATAACAGTGAGGTAACAGTGATCTTCACCTTACGTAATAACCATCTCGTCATACTCGCTAATCGAAAACATGACAATACTATTTATTCTTGAGCTACGGGTAATTAGGACTGTTTACAAATAATGTACCTTCTCTGTATAGGGAGATATAACAGAGCTAAAGAACTATAGACCTATTAGCTTGTTATCTCACGTTTATAAGTTGTTTATGAAGATAATAACTAATAGGTTGACATCAAAACTAGACTTCTATCAACCTTGCGAGCAAGCAGGATTTAGAGCTGGATACGGAACAAATGATCATTTGCAAACCATTAAGTCGTTGATTGAAAAAACCACTGAATATAATAGACCCCTGATACTTGTCTTTGTCGACTTTGAAAAAGCATTTGATACGGTCAATCAAAGTGAAATGCTCCAAGCTCTAACACAATGTAGAATAGATCACCGATACATATCTCTCATCAGATACATCTATCAACATGCTACAGCCTGTGTAAGACTTAATGAAGATACTGGGACTTTTCGTATAGAAAGAGGCGTTCGGCAAGGAGACAAATGTCTCCTAAATTATTTACAACTTTGCTAGAATACGCTTGTAAAACAATAGATTGGAACGAAAAGGGCATCAATGTAGATGGAAAATTTTTAAATAACCTTAAATTTGCAGATGATATCGTTCTTATTGCAGACAGCTTTGATCAGGCACAGATAATGCTCCAAGAACTCCATACTGCCACAAAAAGAGTTGGTCTTAAAATAAATTTTTCAAAAACACAATTTATGACAAATTTAGTCCACAACAAAAACATCTCAGTAGAAGACAAAGATATTGAGCCAGTTGACTCCTATAAATACTTAGGCCATGAGATCAGAATAAGTCGAGACAACCAAACAATCGAGCTGAAAAGAAGAATAAACCTCGCTTGGGCTGCATTTGGAAGGATGAAGGATATTTTTAGGTCTAAGATTCCAATGTGTCTGAAAAGAAAAGTATTTAATCAATGTATTTTGCCAGTGATGACCTACGGCGCAGAAACCCTAACGCTCACAAGAACAACAGTGAGTAAACTACAAGTTGCGGAAAGAGCAATGGAGAGAATTATGTTAGGGATTTCTCTACGTGATAGAATACCCAATGCTACTATACGCAAAAGATCAGGAGTAGCAGACGTTATTGAAAGGATAACAACACTAAAGTGGAACTGGCAGGTCATGTAGCAAGATCAGTTGATGACCGGTGGACAAAAAGAATTTTGGAATGGAGATCCCGAATACAAGCTTACAGAAATAGAGGTCGACCCCCAACGAGATGGACAGATGACATAAAAAGAGTGACTACAAATTGGATTCAGATGGCGCAAGATCGGACTAAGTGGAAAAGCATGCGAGAGGCCTATGTTCAGCAGTGGACGTTAGAGGCTAGTTGATGATGACCTCTGTATCAAAATAAATTAAACTATCGGGTTGCTAAATGTAAATTTTAGTAAATGAAATTTATTTCTACCCATACCTTTGGAGCGCAACGTTGCCGGATGTATTTGCTTTTCTGATGACACTAATCAAATGAATTTAATTTTATAATTTTTTTTTTTTTTGAAAACAGTTGACTTTATAAAAAAATGTTATGTTAAGACTTTTGTTTTAAATGCTACACTAAGCCCATATCTTTAAGGAACACACTATTTTCCGGGGCACCGTGATAGTGGTGTATGCTAAAATAGTATTTGGAGGAGACGATACAATTTCGAATTGTATAAAGCTTACAGAGAACCTAATGTGGTAAGGTTCATTAAGCTTGAAAGACGACGATAGATGGGTCATGTGGAGCGGAGATATTGAACAGGCCAAGGCCAAACGGAGGCTGGAACATCAATGGTGATGATGATGTTAAATAAATCTAATTACTTATTCTTATCGAAGGTTTATGATACAATTAATAGAGACACAAAATAGTAATGGATTGGAGGTATAGTTCAACTGAAAGATGGACTAAATAATCATAGGAATGGAAACCATACCCGATGCATATGCTAATAAAAATTACACAAAACCTTCAACCCAAAATGGACGAAAGTAGAATATTAGTCCAGCAACTGACTGAGATGGTTGGATTAGGGAACTAAATTTCCAGTAATTTTAGTTGACATAACTACCATAATATGCTGAAGATATTTTTTGTTCCCTGCATACACCTCATAAAAACTATTATTCATATTTGTGCATTTCTACTTCAATAGTTTTTCTTACCTGAAATCAACATTTCTTCCCATAATTGTGAAAGTTTTACTACGAACCACATCGTTCTCTTTAGCTGTAAGAATCTTGAAAATTTGTACAATTGGGTCCAGTTTATATTTGGATTTTTCGAAATAATTCGTTTTAGCTCCAATAGCTTTTAATCTATAATCTATTCCTGAGTCTAAATTGGCTTCGTCGCAATGTTTCTTCAAGATTCCAATAAAAGGCACAAAATTGGATCTTTGTAAACCGTTTTTGTACAGATCCTCCGGTGGCCTATTACTGGTAGCGACTACCACAGCACCCCGTTCAAATAAATTGGTAAATAACCTTTTCAATATCATCGCATCGGCGATATCAGTTACCTTAAAAATACATACTTAGATATAATATCCTAAAAACAATTTTAAAAAAATTAACTATAGTTAGTGAGTTTTTACTTGTAGAGAAATTCGTTCAACATCGTGGAGTTAACAAAAAGCAATGGATACTATCAAAAATGGAGTGATAAATAAATTACCCAACCACTGTCGGTCGACGTGTCAAATTCCAAAATTGAAAGACAAATCGAAAGTCATAGCCCTTCTAAATTCAGGGAAAGACCCTAAACTATAAAGTAGCATCCTTTCAATATTACTGCTATGTCACCTGTATACATGATCTCTATCTCCTATGGAGCTACAGAGTAAGTCGGGCCCTGGCCCCTGCAGCGTCCGCCTCCAAAACTCCCTTTCCTTGGCTGCTCTCCTCCAGTTATCCACCCTTAACATCTCTAGCATCGGTTCTCACTTCGTCTATCCACCTCTTCCTTGGCCTTCCTACTGGCTGACATCCCACCATATTTACACTAAGCTTTCTACTAGGTGTTCTGTTATTATCCATTCTTATAAGTACCCTGTCCAGCGCAAACTATGTAATTTTACAAAATTTGCTATATAGGGTTGTTTGTAATATTCCTAATCTCGTGGCTGAACCTTATTTTCCACATACCATTGTGCAAATGGGTCCTAATATCTTTCATTCAAAAGTATTAATAATCTTTATTGTTTTTTCTGTCATGATCCATGTTTCTATGTCATATGTTGCTATTGGGCATATGATGATTTTATATATTTTGAACTTTACTTTTAATATTATCAACCACATCCAAGAAATGATGCAAAATAATTCAAGAAAATAGCAGGTTTATACCAGGCCATCCTGCACAGGCTAAATACTGAATCTCACAGAATTGATAGAGGAATATTTTGTACAAAGAGAGATAGTGATGGTAGGTTTGGTAAACTTCACAGTGGCATACGATATCATAAACCACAGGATCCTCCTGACTAATATTTATAACATTGTACCAGATTACAAACTGAAAAAGTTCATTGAAAAATTGCTGGAGCAACATTTGCTAAATGGAAATAGAGCTATTTAATATACACATAAACGAATGACCAGCCAACCCAGCCTCACGCTGATAGATTTATTTACATTGACCACCTTAGTATCGCTGTGAAAAGAAACATTTTCGAACAAATAAAGGCAGAATGGTAGAAGCTTGGAACATGATGTCAATATATTACGAACAGTCTTCCAAACGTAAGTGCGTTCACCCTCAACCATAATCTGGCGCCTCTAAAACTAAATGCATGCTAACGGAGACAATAGAGACAATACCTGTGCAATACCCTTCTCGGAAAGGTTGTAGAGAGTAAATGAATAAAATAGAATTCTTCTATACTTAATTTAGATTCAAGAAATGATATTAAAAATTTAGCTAGTATAAGACTACAGTAATTTTCATAATTGTTCTTCTTCTTAGGGTGCCTGTCCATTCCAAATGTTGGCCATCATTCTGGCTATGATGACTTTGTTGATTGCTACACAGAATAGCTGTGTGGAGGTCTTTCTATACCATGCTCTCAGGTTAGCAAGCCAGGATATTCTTCTTCATCCTGACGCCCTTTTCCTTCAATTTTTCCTTGCAAAATGCAGTAGCTCATATCTGCGTTGATTTCTCATTATATGTCCCAAATACTGCAGCCCAAATTATTCAAGATGTCACTGTACTCAATAAACTATCAGTAGGAAGCGACCACAGACCAGTACGAGCTAGAGTAACGATAAATCTACAAAAAGAAAGAGCAAATATGATAAACAGTTGCAAACGCATAGTTTGGAATTCACCAAATCATCCAGAAGCATACATAAAAAATATAGCCGAAACTTTACAGAGTAATAATCCCAAACCTCTAAGTATCGACGATCGCAATAAATTAATAACAGACTCGGTTAGAAACGCACAACTCAAATTTTGCAAGAAAAATGACACCAAAAGTGAAAAGATTAGCAAAGATACAAAAGCTCTCATGGAATTACGACGAAACCTAAGCGAGAACGAAAAGGGAAACAAAGAAGAATATAAAAAACTACATAAAAGAATTTCAGCGGAAATTAGAAAAGATGTAAGAAGATATAATGCTAATGTAATTACTCAAACAGTAGAAGAGAACAAAGGTTTAAAGACAATGAAAAGAAAACTCACACAAAGTAAAAAAGAAATATACAAGCTGAGAGATAAAGACGGAAAGGCAACAACAGATAAACAAAACATTCTGAAAATAACCAGAGTGTTTTATAAAGACCTCTATACCAGCCAAAGACCACAAGACAATTTTCCGTTACGAGTAAAGACTCTCATAAATCAGGAATCGGAAATACTTTTACCCATTACTGTGTCAGAAGTAAGAGCAGCTTTAAAGGAAATGAAGAACCATCGATCGCTTGGTGATGATGGACGCGTTATCGAGGCAATAAAAGCAGGCGGAGAAATTTTATTAAAATCAGTAAGCGAACTGTTTAATAAATGCTTACATGCGGGTACGATTCCAAAAGACTGGAACAATGCAGTAATAGTCTTGTTACACAAAAAAAGCGATATTACTAAATTAGAAAATTATAGACCCATCAGCCTCTTGACACATATGTACAAACTCTTTATGAAAATCTTAACAAAGAGGCTAACACCTAAACTTGATTTCTATCAGCCCAAAGAACAGGCAGGCTTCAGGGCAGGATATGGCACAAATGATCATTTGCATACCATAAAGATCCTAATAGAAAAGTGCATCGAGTACAACATACCACTGGTTCTTGCATTTGTCGATTACGAGAAGGCTTTTGATTCTGTACAGTTTGAAACAATTCTGGTAGCCCTAAATCAAAGCCGAATAGATTAAAGGTACACGACACTAATCAAAAACATCTACGAGAACGCTACATCAAGTATACGACTACATGAAGACAGAAAAATTCAGCTTAAGTCGAGGAGTTAGACAAGGAGACAATATTTCACCAAAATTGTTCACGGCAGCTCTAGAGTCAATATTTAAGAGTACTCAATGGCAAGATATGGGCATCAATATAGATGGAGAAAGATCTAAGGTTTGCAGATGATTTTGTATTAATCGCAGATAATTTACATGATACAGTTTCTATGATGCATTCGCTTAAAAGTCTGTCTGAAAGAACAGGATTAAAGATAAACTTTGAGAAAACTAAACTTATAACAAATCTCGTAATGAGTGGAAATATAACTATTGACAATAATACCATACAACAAACAGACACTTACAAATATCTGGGACACGAAATCATAATAAGCAAAGACAATCAAACGCATGAAATACAGAGGCGAATAGGCCTAACATGGGCAGCATTTGGCAAATTAAGCCATATTCTAAAAAGTTCAATTTCCATGTGTATCAAGCGAAAGGTTTATAACCAATGTGTTTTGCCTGTACAAACTTATGGAGCAGAGACTTTAACACTCACGCAAAAATCTGCGAATAAACTCAGAGTTACACAACGAGCCATGGAACGTGCAATGCTGAACGTGAGCCTTCGAGACCACATAACAAACCAACAAATCAGGCAAAGATCAGGAATTCAAGACGTCATCGAAAGAACCACGACGCTTAAGTGGAACTGGGCAGGGCACTTAGCCAGAACACAAGATGGACGGTGGACAAGACGTATTATGGAATGGAGGCCCAGAAATTATAAAAGAAGCCGAGGACAACCACCGACTAGATGGACCGATGACATTAAATGTGTAGCGGGAAACTGACTACAAGCGGCCCAGTGTAGAGAACACTGGAAAGAACTGAGGGAGGCCTATGTCCAGCAGTGGACGCGATTGGTTGGTGATGACTGCAGCCCTTCACGATATTGACCAAATCTGCGGTTGTGTTCATCCTACGTAGTACTTCTTCGTTGGTGACTTTGTCTGTCCATGGTATCTTCAGGATCCTTCTGTATAACCATAGCTCATAAGCCTGAAGTTTAGAGTTTTCGCCTTCAATGTCCACGTTTCTACTCCGTACAGATGCGCTGAGTACATGTAACATTTAAGGAGCCATATTTTTATTCCTAGGGTAAGGCCATGGCTCTTGAACACAGAGCTCCTAGTCAGCTAGTGATCCTTGCTTAATTTTTATAAAGCTAGTAGTTGTAGATTAATTTTTATAATTAATTTTCTATATATAGTCTTCAATCTGTACAGTATGTGACAGTTTACTGTATAATCATTTGTTACTGCAAAGAAATCGTTATGGATGAGCAGAATGGTTGAAGGGTAGGTAGGTATACTATAACTAATTTGCTTATTCATAGAAAAAAAAAAGATTAATTCAATATTTTTACTCTATTAATGGAGAATACTTCTAAATCGAGGAAAGTCAGATTTGGGAAATCTGATTATCAATTAAATTATTCTAGTCATATTGATCAGCTGTACCACTAAGAACTTCTACACTAAAATTGTGTAAGATGCATTTGCTGGAATAGTTAGATCCACAGCTTGATTATGGTTTAGTTATCTAAACTCCAAAACTACAATGTGCATAAGTCATTCTAGTGGTTTGAAAGTAGTTCTAAATAATAATATATAAATAAAAAATACAACTGCTACACTAACTTGTTCCTTTGTAAGGTGTAGTATTACACCTCTCTGTTCCCTTGAAAAGTATAGCAAAAATAGTGTAATACTAGTGTAGGTAAATCTACACCTGCTTCTGAGAGAGTGACTATCTACAATTATAGTCTTGCACAGTATCATCCAACCAAGTTTGATAAGTGTTTAGCTCTCAGATGTGTGTCACAAAAAATATCTTTTTCTTATAGTTTATTCGTCTTCCGGGTTTGGACCGTGTCATTTGTGAGTGACCCAAATGTGGGTTCATCTCGACGTTTCGCTACAATTGTATGTAGCTTCTTCAGGAGAACAAAGAAAAAAGAAAAAAGAAAAGAAATCAAAGGACAGGAAGATGGGTAGTTAGCAACGGTAACTCAGTTACTCAACGCAACCAGAGGCGAA